TTCACATAGCTTAAGGTCACTAGTAATGCATTATTGTTTAAAGAATTGCAACGCGATGTCGGTATGATAGTGCCTTGCACATCACATGCAAATCAGTGATATACATAACAATGCACACAAAAAACAGAAAAAGCTGAACAAGTGTGAGGCCCTGGACTGGGATGAAAAACATTCTTTTCACCATATATCCAACCAAAAACAAATCTTGATCTTTGCGATTAATTAAAATTAAGGAAATTAAATTATTAAGGAAAAAGGGAAAAATAAAATTATTTTAATATTAAAACTACACTGTAAAAAAGGAGAAAAATTAGTAAATTCTTTATAAGACAAGATGAACAAAAAAGAAAATGTTAGTTAATTAAGGTACTGTACAAGGTTTGTTCAACATCCAATGAAAGACTGTCAAATTGTATATATAAACCATTGTCTTTTTGGGGAACTGATATAGTCCAGTTTTACCTGGTAACAGATAGAGACCAATCTGGGACCAAGAAAGGGATTAATAACTAATAGAGTAACGATATGAGAGACCACAAGATATTTAAGCCCAGGTCACAAGGACACTCAGTTCTTTGCCATGACATTCCACAAGGCTATCCTTGTGGAATGCCATACTGGAGTCCCTTGCTGGAGTGTTTCCTACAAGGTTCCATCTTTGTCCTTTGCCAGTGTATCCTCCGAAAGTTATAGACCTTCGTTGAGAGAAACTTCAGAAATTCCGATCTGCATTCACTGGATATCGTTTCCTGTTTGAGAACTGGTCTTAAAATGAAACATCCAGTCGGCGACAGGAAACCACACTTGTCGCTGAACTTTTCTCTTCTTCTTTTGAAGACTACATGCTGAAATCTACAGGGACTTCAACCCTTTATGACAGTAGTACTTTTATTGTAAGTTAATTATCTAATAAATGGGTTGTGTTGTTTGTAAACGTGGCATCAGTCTCTGACTCGACCACTCCCGCATGTTATTGACTGTTACCGCTCGGCAGTCCAGACATCAATAGAGATGATAACAATATATCTCTTATAATCCTTTTTTTTTTTTTGGTTTTCATTTTTTTCTCTCCCTGGCAGTCTCACACAAGAACAAATATTAAATTTTATTCATGTTTTAGATTCAAAGTGTTCAAGAACTGTATAACAATCCTTTTCTCTTTTGTGGATGGAGAAGTAGTGTATGGACACTGTGCATTGCTATCTTTGTAAAGATGGATACCTCCAGTTGGGAATGCAAATCCTTCTGCTGACAATTTTTAACTACTGCAACAATGGCAGATGGAATTAATATAGTTAAATCCTCCTTTGCTTTAGGAATGAACTTTGGGTCACACTTAGTGTTGCCACCTTTTCAAAATCACTGACCCAGATTGCAGGTCAGGTTCGTTCAAACAGAAGTTCCTGATGCTTGCACAATGTCATTTTACAATGCAAAGAATAACGTGCATGCCGGTTCTAAATCAGTTATAGTTAGGGACTTGCATAGGAGTAACGTAAGTAACCCTAAATTAAGAAAGAACAGGTACATATGACTTAACTCTATTGGATATTGGAGACGCGTACAATTGTACATGCAAACAAAAAAAAAAAAGGTCAACAGGTTGTGCACGTCAGTGTAAACAGACTAACATGGCAGAATTACAGATGAGTTTCAGTGAGTGTGAGTTCTTTTGCTGTTGAAATAGTGTAAATTTGTAAAAAATATTTGCAAGAACTTTGTTTTATCATAATTTCACAATTTCTATGAAATTCCCAGACAAAATTAATAGTTCACCTGAACAGAGTCAATTCCTGGACTGTCCAGGTGAAAACTGGATGAGTGGTAACACTAGTCACACTGTAGTAAATAATAAATTGTTTCTGGAACTACTTCACCTGAGTTCTGTAATTGTGGTATGGCACATTGACTGGAGATTTGCATTTGTGTATTCTATAATAACCAATAGAACTTTATCAAGCTGTTCATTATTCATGTTTACCTTATGGTAATTTATATAGCCTAATATTTAAGTTTGATGTGCCTGTTTTCTGTTTCATTCAGTGGTTGACTGCTTGTCGTTTTCTTTTAATGAAGAGCAGAAAAGTGTTATTGTGCCATCCCTTGCTGCCCAGTGTGACTACATCTCTGGTGAACAAAAAAGAAAATGTTAGTTAATTAAGGTACTTCCTTGGAAGCGGTGGAAGCGCCGCTTCCCTTGTACAGTATTTTCTAAAATATAAATAATATTGTGTGATTATTTTCAAATTTTAACATACTTTGAATTAATTAAAATTAATATTTTATTATAACCACATTATGTATCTTATTACAAATTTCTATACTATATGCGAAAAAAACGATAAGATTGCTATTGTATATTCGAATATCAGTGGCAGAATGGAAGCACTGTATTGTCAGCTTCCACAATGAAAATATCTGAATGGCTTGTCTGAATGGTGTAAAGCAGCCAGATTACACGCATGTGCTTTACAGAGCATCCACCTCACATGGTTTAGCTGGTGAAAGCTACACACTAAAGTATCGTATAATGCTTCCAATGATTCTATTTAGGACCGGTTCTGGGCTGTTAGCCACCTGTGTGCTAGATATTTCCCCATTATGTGAATCATGAGTAGATTTATAAGTTAACCCAACTGATAGGAGTTTACTGGTATGTTTTTACGATAGTTCTGTATAGTTGACAGGAGTTTAAAAAAATCCATTAAAATATTTGATATATTTATTCTGCTCACCCATCTTGTATTACTTACAGATTTCAATGTTAAACTAGTGATATTACGATGTAGTATGTCCTATCTATAAGGGGATGCAGAAAAAAAGTGTGCACAATTCTTGTACAATGCTAAAAAAAAATGAACTGTTACTTTGGCAGCATCATTATCAAATTTAATGAATGAGATGCACAAAGTACTAAAAAGTTCTAGAATTTATTTTCCTTAAATTTACAATTTATGTATCTGTGTCATAAAGATTTGTCTTTCCATTTCTTTCCCAAGACTAAAAATATTCAAGTACAAAGTAACCGGTTTCAACATATTTCTACTTAAAAAGTAGTTAAATAATTAGGCCTAAGAGATTAGGGAATTAGGGACATAAATGAAACCCTGCTGAAAGAGCCAGAATTTTACTTAAACAACTTAACTGAACTAATCTCTAGCTAATTTCTTCGTAATATTAGATGTAAGAAAGACAGAAATTTTTCTACTTCAATGAGAGTGACTGAAAAGTTGTAAATTTTGGAAATTTCCATGGACACCTGGTCCTAAAACGAATTAGTTAGAAAACAAATGATGGACAATCTATTAAGTTTAACATATGTAGATTTTTACAGCTATGCTGAGAAACGTTTAAAATTTACACCCTGTCGTGTCCTTTGAGGTATACTAGTGATGCGACAAAGAAAGAATTTCACATTGACCAGTATTGGCACTCTTCGGATTTGGCAGCCAGCTTGCATGCACTGCACACCTACCAGGACTGTCTCCGATTCCATCCATTAGCCACTCGTAGGGAGCTATAAGGAAGTTTTTATAATTTTATTTTTAATTTTAGCCTTTATATCGTGGCTAGTGATTCAGAATGTAATTGTGATATTAAAAATACATTTAGTGAAGTCTACGGTTTTTTTCTGGCTTATCGAACAAACAAATACGAATGGACTCTAGATGATCACTGACGTGCAATTAACTGATTGCCCATGGAAGTTGGCTTCTTACAGAAACACAGCTTCCCTAACATCAAATGTCATTGCACGTCACTGATATATATATACTGTATACACACACACACATGTAAATCAATTTGGGAAAAATGCAAGAAGAGTTTTTTTAACTAGAGATAGGGTAAACAACTTTTATTTTTTCAAAATATTGAATGTCATGTGAGTAAAATCTATTTTCACATATGATGAAATAAAAGTATGATTTTTAACATATTTAGAATTAAATATGAGACATCCTGAAAATGCAGTAAATTCTTTACTTAGTGTCATCAATAGGTTTTTGGAAACTTCAATTTTAAGTGAAATGACATATAATGAAACCATTTTATCAAAGGCTAAATACTGATAATATAAACAAAATGTAATTTGGTTAATGTTCTAATTGGATTGTGTTTGCAATCTCTAGCATTTATTTTTCTTGTAATGTTATAACAAAATGATATTAAGTGAGATTACTATATGTAGACATTAGCAATCAAATTTAAGCTGAATGACTAATAGCTATACACTTAACATTGCAAAGGCACCAATTTGCTGCTCTAACAGACATTGAATCAAATTCGAATCAGATTATAAATTTACATGGGTGATTTGACTTGTATTGGGCTTCCTGCCTCACCATATGGCCAGCTCAGTGGGCATAAAAAACCCCATCACAGTAGAATGACTAAAAAAAAAGAAAGGCAATGATAATCACAATAATTATACTATTTTAGTAATAGAAGAATAACTAAAAATCTAACTAGGATGTCTGAACTGTAAAAACTGATAAAACAACAAAAGATTTTAATGCTTTTAAGTTCAAGCTGATGGTTGTATTTTTTAATATTAAAATAATTAATTTTGTATCAGAAGATGGGTTCTTGCCAAAAGCTAACCTTTAAAATGCAGCCTTTTTATTACCACATCTAATGTTTTCATCAGTTATTGACCTGAATTGATTTTGAACTTCTTGAACTTGCCAAAAGCACTTAGATAAACTATTGCTTATTTGAGCAGTATTTTTCTTCTTTTTGTGCCTTTTTGGAATTTTCTTGCAATAATTCATCAAAATTAAATCAAAATCAACTTCTTAATTTTGCATAGTTTAAGATAGTTTCTTTGTAAAGTCATCTGATGTGACTTTTTTCAATTAAAATTTTCTTACTTATTTTAGATATAAAAACTTCAGATAGTAAATTTTGTTTTGTTTTTTTTCTAAATGTATATTTTCCTATATTTAGAATAATTTGACTTTTTAAAAATTTATTTTTAATGTGAATAATAATTTTTTCAGAAAAAGTATGTGAAAAAATGTAGAAATGATTGATTGTGATAATGAAGATAATTCAAAAGATGATGCACTAGAGATTATTGTTAATGATGATAAAATAAATGTTAATTGTAATGAAGTTAGTAAAAACACATTTATTAAAATAGAAAGTTCTGAAAATTTATCCACGGAATGCAATAATGAAGAATGCATACAGCAGCATCTAAATTACAAATCGGAAAATATGAAAAATAATGTAAACAGTTATGAACATAAAGAAAGTAATTTAGATAAAAACGTAGCAAATATCCAAATTTGCAATGATTTGTTTTCAAATGTAAAATATCCTGAATCTCCTATGCAAAATCAAAATGAATTAGAGTCTTTAAATAATTGTAAAAATTTTAATCTTTGTAAAAATAATATTTACGATGGTCAGATTTCAAATTCCATGCAATCGTTAATAAATAAATCCTGTCTGAATGAGAAATCAGAAAATAGTACTAGTAATGAATCATCCCAAGAGGAAACAAATAGTGAAACAGCATTTAGTATAGAGAGTGATTGCATAATTGAAACAGTCGGCAATTTTACTAGCAATGATTGCTCTGGAATTCAGAGTGCTTTTGGCATGGTACAGACAGAATCGGCCGTGACAAATACTCTAAATCAAGTCAGTCGCAGACTCAGTCTAGTTTGCGAATCTGCATTTACTGAAGGATCATCTGCAGAATTATGTGACAATGGTGAAACTTATATATATTCTACTTCTCCGCATTTAAATCCTGTTACTCTTAATAATAGTGTTACGAGTTTAAATTCGGCTGTGTTAAGTAGGTTACAACATTCTTTGCCACATACTAATTCTGTACCAAATAACCTTTCACTCTGTCATGTTGGAAAGAAGAATTTGTCACCTATTGTTCCAAAAACACTACCTCCTCCTTTAGAGAAGAATTTCAGCAGTGTGAATCTGAGGACTACGTATCGCTGTGATTCGGATAGTGAAATTAACAGTCTGAAGAAAATAGGATTTCTAAAAACTCAAAAATCTTCATTAGATAATCTTTCAACTTCTAGTCTAAGTATTCTTCCTCCAATTTCTACCAAAGATGCAAGAAAAAAGTATGTTTTATTATATTTAGAATTTTAATTGTTTAAAATTTGATATTTATTCTTTATTATTTGATTTATATTTCAGAAGTTATATGGTCGGTAGTGTACGTGCATTCGGTTCGCTTCTGGGTACAGAAGAGTTGTCTCGATATTTTCCAGATAATAAAATTAAAATATTTATTGGCACCTGGAATATGAATAGTCAAGTAATTTGTCAAATATAAAACTTAAATAATATCTTCTGTTTACAGAATTATAAGGTTGTTGTTACATTTTTAGAGTTCTCCTAAGGATATAAATGATTTCCTTTTACCTGAGAAAATTCATTCTGTGCCAGATATATATGCAATAGGTGTCCAGGAAGGAATGCAAGATAAGTATGTAATGTTTTTGTAATTACAGTACTTTCAACTGTGTTAATTTTTCTACAAGTTTTACTCAATTTAACAGAAAGGAGTGGGAAATTTTAATGCAGACATCCATAGGACCTTCTCATGTTCTCTTCCATTCGGCATCTCTTGGAGTTTTGTATTTGGCTATATTTCTAAGAAGGGATCTTATATGGTTTTGTTCAGGTGAAATGAAAGATATTTTTATATTTTTGTTGATTTTATAATACAGGGGATTCCAAAAAGAAGCTACCATTTTAAATTATTGTAATTATGTTAATTATTATCCAAGAACATTATAATGTACATGAAAACATTAGAAAACTGTCCAAATTTAACAAATGTCCATTCCAATTTCTCAATGTGTGCATGCAGCTTGTGACACATGGCACACATCCAGCTGACACTTGTATTCTTCCAACACTCACTGAATCCTCCTGCAGTGGCCACAGTTCAACATTTCTATATTTCCTGCAGAATACTCATGCTCCGCAGTGATGAGTGGTTCTGACTTTGTAAAATGTAGAACACAAAATGCCTTCTCTATTGTGGAATTGCCATTTTCATTTACGGTGCTTCGTAGAGATAGTAGGCTAGATGAGACGATGTTTGAATGCATATGGGAAATGATACATAACTGTTTATCAAATACTCAGATAATAATTACAGTAATTTAATTACAGTAAAATGGTAGCATTCATTTTGGAAGATCCTATATTTTTGGACTTCTAGTGAATAATATTTTTTATACAACAACTTAAATATTTAAGGAATTTTATACTTGACATTAATGATTAAATTTTTTAATTAATATATTTATTTTTGATGTGATATATATAGACTATAAATCTTTTTTAAAAATTAAGTAGGAAAAACTTGGAAACTATTAAAAATTATACGTTGTTGATGATATAAATTTTGATCTTTAAAATACAGTGGTACCTCGACATACGAGTGTTTTGAGATACGAGCCGCCGAGTGAGCAATATTTTACTTTGAGATGAGAGCAAGATTTGAGATATGAGGAATCACACACTACACTGCTGCACACGACCCCAACATGCAAAGCGCATGTTGGTGTCGTGTGCAGCGTCTAATGGTTTCTCCCATCTCAGACTAGACCTCAGTCTGTGTGCTTGTTTCCCTCGTTTTCAAAGCATTTTTGATAAGTTGGATTCGCGTTTTTTGCTTTTTGTACATTTACAAAACATTATCACATTTATTTTTATAACCATGGATCCAAAGATGATGATGATGTCTATTGAATTAAAGTGTGAAATCATAGAAAAACATGAGCAAGGTGTGCGAGTAATTGACTTGGCGAGGATGTACGGGCATAGCACATCAATGATATGTACTGTGCTTAAACAGAAGGAGTTGATAAAGGGTATAACACCAGCTAAGGGCATTACAATAATTCCTAAGCTCCGGACCTCTCTCCATGAAAAGATGGAGAAACTACTGATGGTGTGGGTGACAGAGAAGCAGCTTCAAGAAGGAACCTCAACACAAAGCATCATATGTGAGAAGGCATGAGCAATTTACGGTGATTTGCTGAAGCAGATTCCACACACTTCCACAAACGAGGAATCGGAAGACTCCTTTAAAGCCAGTTGGGGCTGGTTTGACAACTTTAGGAAAAGGCCCGGCATTCACTCCGTCGTCAGGCATGGTGAGACAGCAAGTTGGGATGTGAAGGCAGCTGAGGTTTACATCAAAACGCTTTCTGAACTGATAGAAGCCAAAAGATACATCCCCCAGCAAGTCTTCAACTGTGATGAGACAGGGCTTTTCCGGAAAAGGATGCCGAATAGGACTTACATAACGGCAGAGGAGAAGACAATGCCAGGTCACAAACCCATGAAGGATAGATTAACTCTAGCACTTTGCGCCAATGTGAGTGGCGACTGCAAAATCAAGTCTCTGCTAGTATACCATTCGGAAAATCCCAGAGCCTTTAAGTCACATAAGATTTTAAAAGAAAAACTGCAAGTTATGTGGAGGGCAAATCCGAAGGCATGGGTCACTAGGAAATTCTTTGTGGAGTGGATAAACCTGGTGTTTGGCCCTTCTGTTAAAAAATATCTACAGGAAAACAACCTACTCATGCAAGCCCTTCTCGTTCTTGACAATGCCCTGCTCACCCACCAAATCTCGAAGATGATTTACTCGAAGAGTTCAAGTTTATAAAGGTTCTCTACCTACCACCCAACACCACTCCTATCCTGCAGCCCATGGATCAGCAGGTGATTTCTAATTTTAAGAAGTTGTACACCAAGCACATTTTTCGGCGCTGCTTTGAGGTGACGGAGAACACAAACCTTACCCTTCGAGAGTTCTGGAAGGACCACTTTAACATCGTGATATGCCTAAGAATTATTGATCAGGCCTGGCTGGGTGTTACAACGAGGACCTTAACCTCTGCATGGAAGAAGCTGTGGCCTGAGGCTGTAGCTGAAAGGGCCTTCGAAGGATTGGAACCCGAAGTGTCAGTGGTAGAGGAGATTGTTTCTCTGGGAAAATCCATGGGTCTGGAGGTGGATGAGAGAGATGTGAACGAACTCGTCGAGGAACAGTCTCAGGAGCTGACAACCGAGGAGTTACATGATCTACATTCGCAGCAGCATACGGTGGTGCAACGAAAAATTAGTTTTGAAGAGGAGCCAGAGATGGAGGAGGTTATCTCTACAAGAGATATAAAGGAGATCTTGGGAATGTGGGAGAAAGTTGTAGAGTTCGTGGATAAAAATCACCCCAAAAAAGTTGCAACTGGTCGTGCATCGGAGTTGTTAAACGAAACTTGCCTAACTCATTTCCGCAATATCCTGAAAGGGAGGAAGAAACAAACCTCCTTGGACAGTTTTTTTAAACGATCTGCACGTGAAAATTAGCAAAGCGTGACAAAAAAAGCGAAGACCAGTGACGAAAATTAAGCGCTTCTGTAAGCACTTCACTTTTTCTTCTTTTATTATGTTTTTATAGAATATGTATTTGTTATTTATAAATAAATGTTTCTTCTTGTAAATACATTTTTCTTATTCAAAAACACTTAACAAAAACAACTGAGGTGGTGTTTTGGGAGCTGGAACGGATTAATGGCATTTCAATTAATTTCAATGGGGAAAATTGCTTTGAGATACAAGCAATTTGACATACAAGCAAGGTTACGGAACAAATTAAACTCGTATGTTGAGGTACCACTGTATAGAAAAAAATGCATTGAAGTAGAAATATTGTTATAATTTTTACTTTTTAAAAAAATGTTTATTTAATATACTGTGACACTAAATATAAAATTTAAATTTTAGATAATCTACTGTTACCAATGAAAATTTTCTTAACAAATTAATTATTATAAGAACATTTTAAAATTTATTTTAGTTCCGGAAGATGCTTCAATAAACACTCGAGCTGCTTCTATGGTTAAAACAAAGGGAGCAGTTGCCATATGTTTTGTATTTTTTGGCACTTCATTTCTTTTCATCAATTCTCATTTAACAGGTTCCTTTATTTTTTTTACTATTAAAATTACTTTTATGATGATAATAAATTATGCTTAATAGTGTATATATATATTTAAAGCTCACGAAGAAAAACTCAAAGAAAGACTTGCAGATTATAAAAAGATCTGCAATGCCATTGACCTTCCAAAACAGCTACCTTTAAAACCACCGTATCATCATAAAGGTATGATTATTAAAATCACTAATTATTGAATCTATAAAAATTTTAATTTCTCAAATAAGAGTTGAATTTTATGCATTAATACACATTGTAAATAAATAACAAATTATGCATTATTTTGGAAGTTTTCAACTTAATACAGTACAATCTATTCTTTTGTTATAAATTTTTTACTAGTCTTAATAATAAGACTAGTAAAAAATCTATAACAAAATAGTAAGCTTTAACTTTTGCTTTTTATTTTCTTTAAATAATTTGTACACCATACATATTTTATTCCATTATGACAGTCATTCTAAACTAAGAAGATACATAAGCCTTAAAGGAAAGTTTCATCTTGCTCAAACATTAACATAATTGGAATTAACATTTACTGATCTTATAAAGTATGTTATTTTAATAATTTATAGGTCTTAGTGTCATTTTTTTTAAATTAATGAAAACACAATCAATTTTTGAGATATTTTTTCTATGCAAATAGATTCTAAGTTTTATTAAGTGCTTCAACAGAGGCATACTGATTGTTGTTTTCCTTTGATACTACTATAGTACCTTTGATACTAATAATACTTGTAGATTTTCTACAGGGTTCAAATCAGGGCTTAAAACTTGCCCATCTACTAAAGTGATATTCTTATCAAGAAACATTTTAAATACATCAAACTAATGTAACAGCTATCATTATCTTGTTGAAAAACCAATTATCTCCTGCAATCAGGTGTCCTATTGAAAGATTTACCAAGAACTCTTAGAAACATGTTTTTGAATTAAGTCTACTTTTTATAAAGGCCAGATTATTCATTCTCTACAAGAAAATGCCATCCAAATCATATGAACCACTACCATATCTTCCAACCCTTTTAAATATTACAAGGGTCATCTAGAAAGTAACAACCGTTTGGTTTTAATAAATGAAAGAAATATATTTTATTAACAAAAGCATGTCATTTACAAAATTTAAGTTTACTTTATTTCTCTACATAATTGCCATCATTATTTAAGCATTTGTTATATCTGTCCATGAGCTTTAGAATTCCTGTGTCGTAGTAAGCTGCCACCAGTCCTTTAAGCCAGTTGTTTGCTGCATTCTTCACCTTGTCATCACTTCCAAAACATTTCCTGCCCAGGAACTCTTTGAGCTTCATGAAAAGGCTAAAATTGCAAGGAGCAAGGTCTGGACTGTAGGGTGGATGATCAAAAATTTCCATCCAAATCAATCCATCAAGCCTGTGGTTGCAGCAGCAGTGTGAAGGTGGGCATTGTTGTGAAGAAGCACAATACCGCGAGAAAGCATTCCATGCCTACAATTTTGATTACTCGCCATAGTTTTCTTAGGGTGTTACAATATTGATCTGCATTGACTGTAGTGCCTTTTGGCATGAAATCCATCAAGAGAACACCCTTACGATCCCAAAAACTGTCGCCATGAGTTTCTGTGCTGACAGTTTGAATTTTCACAGTTTTTTGGGTGGTGAGGGATGATGGCACTTGGTCTCTAGGGTGAAGTGAGACACCCATGTCTCATCGCCAGTAACAATTTGATCAAGAAAGGCATTTCCATCTATTTGATACTGTGTCAAAAATGTCAGTGCTGCACCCATTCTTGGTGTTCTGTGCTGGTCACTCAATTGCCGAGGAACCCATCGTGCACACATTTTGTTATAGCCAAGACGTTCAGAGACAATTTCACCAAGCAAAGAATGAGGTATGTTAGGGAAAGAAATGTGTAACTTGTCCAAGATTATGCATGTCTTGCATGATTTGTCCTTCTTGATTCTTCAAATCATCTGTGATGAGTGACGGATGTCTGGGTCATGTTTTATCATGCACATTTGTTTGTCCATTGTTAAACAGTTCACACCACTTTCTCACATTTCTTTCATTCATTACTGTGTCACCATACACTTTCTTTAGTTGACAGTAAATTTCTGCAGGTTTCAACTTCCGAGCATTCAAAAATTGAATATCGCCTCTGACCTCACAGTCGGCGGGACTTTGTATCACACTGTTCATTGTTGACAATCACAGAATACACAATAACAACTTGTTCTGACTAGCACTCACACAACACTGAGAAAAGACATCGAGGAAACTATTCGATCTTGGATAGTAGCCCGAGATCAAACTGCGCAGCCGGAATGCACAATAGGTCGTTACTTTCTGGATGACCCTCATATTAATAAACAATACCATCCAGCCCATTGAAATTGAAAAAATTTACTTAAAAGATTAAAATTGGCTAGAAATGTTTACTCCATTCTTCTGACTGGAATATAAATTTTTTTTCATTTATCTATTTGCATCTTTCTAAGTTTTGGTTTTGTCTTCAGTTTTTAACACAATCAGATTTCTTAATTGTCCTCTATAGTTTCCTTAGCAATTTCTCTTTGAATCATTCAAAAGGAAATACATTGTTTCTTCCTGATCTACTACCTTCTGCATAGTCAACTTCTTATTTAATAACATTAAAGGACAAAAAGTGCAGTTCATAAATTTATCTAGCAAATTCTATGATTTTCCTTCAACTAAGTTTGATAATGAAACAGAAATTCATGAAATTAAGTTAACATGTATATAAATATGTATCAAGATAATATTGTATTTACTTGTTTGTAATCAAAACTAGTAACAAAGGTTATTTCTATATGTTTTTACTTACTTTACATTTTGTTAAGACCAGGAGAAAATCCAGTGGTCTTAAATGAAATTTGTGTAACAATTTTAATTTCTTGATAGCTACATTATTTCCTTTCAATAATTTGCATATTGCAGATTCCTTTAATTTTATAATTTTGAATTTGGTGATAGTTTTCTTCTATTTAGGTGTAAACAGTATAGTGGTCTTGTAATTATGTTGCAGTTTGAATCAAAACTCTTAAAATATATTTTGTGATTTTACATAATAAAATGAATACTTTAACATGGTCTTCCACAATGTGTCTGGTGTTAAGTCTGCATATGCAGCATATGTTCCTTCAGATTATATAATTTTATAATATAAAACATACAGACACTTGACTATTATAATAAAATGTGAATTTTAATTATTAATTTCCATATCATAGCAAAGAAAGTTGTTTATAAAAGAAGGCAGGTAGACAATTACTGCAAATACAATGAGGTTTTCAAGATAAACATGTTTGAGTTTCAATCTTGAAATTTATTTTTTTTCCTGCATTTTCAGCCTAAATTCAATATATTTTCTCCCAACACCTCTCTCTATCTCAAATTATTGACCGAAGTATCAATTACAAATTCAAAGCTCAACAATTACATTGATATCTGTAGTTGAAATCTCTTGCAATATAATACATAGTTGCAATTAATGCTGCTTTTCTCTGATTGGCTACAAATTTGGCTTGTGTGTTATTGGTTGAAAAAAGTCAGGTACTAGAAGCTATTGACAAACTTTGTTAAAGCATGTCAAAAATGTTTTATTTATACATAATACAGGTTATACTGTACTTGATATTGTATTAATAAAATACCATATCTTAAGTCAAACCTCAGGTGTTTCTTCACAGTAAACAGAAATCTTGAAATTTGTCTTTAATTTTTTTCTTGTTTCCATGAGGTTCAACTGTGCTGGATTCATTTATTGGACTAGTAAAATTAAATTTATCTATTTAACAAGGGATGCCAGCCTAACCACCTACCTAATGACAAATTACTTATAACAAGGAGCTACTGTACTAATAACTATCGTGCTTGTTGGGAGAAAGAAAATGTGTGATATAAAAGAACTAAAAATTCTGGGCTTTTACTAAAGAGAGATTCCATAGCGTGTATAATCTATCCTTTGTTCTTTCATCAGCAGGTATTTCTGATATAAAATAAGCTTAGTTTTTCAATACTGAATTTTATTCATGATTGTATTGTAGTAATTGACATTTACATAAACATTGATACCACAAATGCCCATTTAGCATTATTGTTTCTTTAACAATGACATTTAAAAATAAAATGTCAGTTGCAATTTTATTATACAGTATGTATTTAACAATTTGTGTATTTTATATTTTTCAATGAAAATTATAAATACAGTAAATATAAAATTAATGTTCATCAAAACTTTGAAAATTTAAAAAATGTTGTATTATGAGTAAAAATTCTAAAAAACTAAATAAAATTGTATAAAAATTTTAGAACTTTTGTTCAGAAATAAAGAAATCTTTTCCTTACATATTAGCAGTGAATTCCAAATTTCACACCTTTATGTGAATTGACAGTATAGTGTCATTTTACATAAAGGTGGGAAATTTTGAATTCACAGAAACTTAAAACCAATAAATAAACCTCTCCTCATTTAAGAACTAACTTTAATATCAAAAGAAAACATTTGATCTGCAGTGGTAGTTTCAAGGCCAATGGTAGGAATGAAATACCAATTGCCATTGAATTTTTTTTTTAAAATAAAATACGGTAATTTAAAATTTATTAACTAGTGCTTTTAAAATTTGGGAGACCCAAAAAGAAGTGCAATATATCCATCTCAGCGATATAAAACAAGGGGTTACTGCATCTTAATAAAAGGAATCTGGCTGTTTGATATAAGAAGGCAATTATTTCTTAACAACTTTATTCTAAATTACCTAATAAGAAATGACATCTGTCTACCAGTTTTATTTAGACTGATATAGAAATTAAAAATTGTAAATTTAGTTGAAGTCAAAATATAAGTTGAAAAGATCCTGTATGAAATAGTAAAATTTTTTTATCTATTCATGATATCGATTCAAGTGAAAAAATACATTTAATATTAAAAGGATGGTTTTACATTAAAAGTTTATCATGTATATAACTACATGAACCAAACTATATGTAAATGTGAAATTTTTTAAGTTATGCATAAACATAACAATTGTGACTATTATATTAACCTATTTGTATTTTGTTGTTTAAATAAAATCTTAAAAATATTTAATTATTGTAATTCCAATCACGAATGTTTTACCCTCATGTTTGTAAAAAAAATATTTACTTTTGTATTTCCAAGAGGGGATAATCCTAAATCAATAAAATTGAATTTATGTAAATGTACACATCAATTCAATTTTATCAATAGTATTACAAATAATTTAGTTTGTCAATAGTTTTATTGGTAAACCAAAGATATATTACTAAAAACCACAATGCATATTCTTAATTTTTGATATATTGGTCCTTCTTTTATTGTTGGTGTACCTTATCAAATTTCATTAAATTTCAAAAGAAAGGTATCTTACTTAAATAGAAGGAAACACAAATTGCTTATTTTTATGCATTTTTCTTTTTGACTGAAATATAATAATAATGAAATTTTAAAAATTTCTATAATTTTATGCTATAATCCATATTTTTCAACAAAGTAGTATAAAGTAGCAGACTTTTTAAAAATAAATTATATTGAATATTTTTTTATAGAAATAATTTTTATTTTAGAAGTTGTAGACAGATTTGATTACGTGTTTTGGTGCGGAGATTTAAACTTTCGACTGATACAAGACAGAAGTGCAGTCATGTCTTTCGTGGAAGAAAAATTACATCAATTAACTTTGTCGTACGACATGCTTCTGCAGTCGGATCAGTTACATAAAGCCATGCAAGAAGGTGAGTAATAAATGTCAAATTTTATTTACATTCATATTTCTGTTACTGTTTTATTAATATTAGAATATATTTTGGGTTAGGAATGGCTTTTTCTGGATTTAAAGAAGGTAAAATTAATTTTGGACCATCTTATAAATTTAATATTGGTACAGATTTATTTGATGCAAAATTGAGAGTACCTTCTTACACGGTAAGTTAAATTTCTTTATTGATTGAAACTTGTATATATAAGCATCCCAAAGCCTGATGTGTTAATATTAAACCAAATGACAACCTTAATTAAGCCCAATTAAGGCTTTTGGTTTAATATTGAAACTTAGAGTAATCAACCCTAAAATATACTACAAATTTGTGATGATGTAGTATATGCAGTGTATTTGAATCATTTCGAGAATTAGATCTAGACAATACTAAACTAATTTTTGACAGACTTAAAATTATGAGGAATGTTTAATCGTCTAAGTAACTAGGGTTATATATATATTAGTTAAATTATCTGATATTTTTGATGTGTAATGAACAGTATATTACTCAAAAGATTGATAAAGAAATAATAAAATAACTGATTTGTTTGCAAAATGCAGCAAATATTATAAAAATTATTTACAAAAACATTTAAGCAATATATATTAATGAACAAATTGATATTAGTGTGTTGTATACAGATGTTAGGTTGCTGGTCCACAAGTGTTAAGAATAAAATCATGTTTTAATTAGTACAAAATGGCAAATTTTCTCTCTCAACTTCACACCATAGAAATTAATAAGCAAAGTTTGGTTATTATTAGTTAGTTTACTAAAGACAAAAATAGATCAGTCAACTTAGTCAAAGAAAATTCTCTAATGAAATTTATTATGCATCTTAAAAGATGGAATTTTGAAATGAAAATTCTTCATAGGTACATTCAAAATTGGATTATCTGAAAAAATATCTACTCTTATTGATAAAATCCTGTTTGGTTTTGTTGTGACTAATTAGTTATAGTAGTGCAACTGGAACTGATAATAGGGAGGGGACCTGAATTAGAATGTGAAAATCTGTATTCATCCCTATATCATTGTGGATGAAGAGTTTCATGTAAATGTACATGCTTATATACAATATCTAAGTGTCACAGCCAGAAGCTAATTTTTGTTCGTGATTCCTTTTAAGGCAAAATTAGTTCTTGTCACTTCCAACATTGCTATTACTATACTTTTGCATTGTAATAGTAAAAGTTTACATGAACAAATATTGTGAACTTTATTAAATCAGTGTAAAATTTGACTGTCAAATGAGTAGCAAAATGTACTTTTCTGAGTAAAAACTTTGCTAATTCAAACTAATAGATGGTAAGCCTAGTGAGGTTCTACTGCATTTTAGATTAAAAATGTCCAAGAGTGCATCAGAAAAATGGCACTCTTCAAGTATTTTATTTTAATTTGAAACTTCATTATTTTGATCTAATTAAATTTGTGTATTGATATTTGTATACACCATTATTTTGAATATTTTATGCATTTTATTTGAAGCATCATAGGATTTATTTATATCATTAAGTTTGACAATAACCATATTTCTAGCTTTTTTGCCTAGCTACAGGTTATACAGCAATGGAATTTGGACACTGACACACAACAAAATTCACATACACAATCGGGTATACCTTGTTTAGATTTATTTTTACTATTCCACACTTTACCTTTAAATGTCTGAATGATCTTTGAATTGTCCTATTGCCAAGTTTTATGTACAATGTCTGGAACTTTTTATGCTTTGGTGAATTCACTTTGATCTCTTAATCTTCTAGAACAAATATGAGAACTATTGTAGATTAAAGAAATAAGATTTTCTCTTCAGGATAGAGTATTATATAAATCAAGAAAATCTGGAGTGGTAGAATGCCTTAATTACGACACGGTGCCATCCATAAAAACTTCCGACCACAAGCCGGTCTACGCAGTTTTCGAAGTGTCAATCCGTCCTGGCCGCGACAAGTACGTAATTTTTATATTTATTTTTATTCGGAGTTTACTAATTATTTTATTAACTAAGACTATTATTTAGCATACCTCTTGCAGCTGGCTTATTCAACAGAGATGTCTATTTGGAAGGCAAGTCTTGTTTCATATACATTATGCTTTACAAAATCTGAATAGTTTTGTATATTCATTTGTTTTTCAGCTATGAGAAGAAGAGCTTCTGCTCTAGATGTGACTGCAGATTCTAGAAGTAGCATAGTCTGTTCTATTATGTAATTGTTCAAGAGACATCCTTCAGTTCATTTTGAGGGAAAAGTGCCAATATACAAGAAAACAATTTTTAACGATTTTATAACATTTTTACGTTTTAAATGACAATATTTTAAAATCGGTGTTGAAAAGAAATCATAATTTTTGTGCACATTCATGTTATTTATTGTCAGCATAAAACATGTACATAAAATGAAAAATATTTATCTTGTTCAGTTTAAAACATGTATATATTTTTCAATCCAAAGTAGTTCACAAATTGTAATTTTTTTTCTCCTTTACCGAAAATTTCTGGTTTTAGTGTTATTGTCCATTTTAGAAAAATTGTTTTTGGCAATAAAGTTTTAATTANTTTTTAATTAATATATTTATTTTTGATGTGATATATATAGACTATAAATCTTTTTTAAAAATTAAGTAGGAAAAACTTGGAAACTATTAAAAATTATACGTTGTTGATGATATAAATTTTGATCTTTAAAATACAGTGGTACCTCGACATACGAGTGTTTTGAGATACGAGCCGCCGAGTGAGCAATATTTTACTTTGAGATGAGAGCAAGATTTGAGATATGAGGAATCACACACTACACTGCTGCACACGACCCCAACATGCAAAGCGCATGTTGGTGTCGTGTGCAGCGTCTAATGGTTTCTCCCATCTCAGACTAGACCTCAGTCTGTGTGCTTGTTTCCCTCGTTTTCAAAGCATTTTTGATAAGTTGGATTCGCGTTTTTTGCTTTTTGTACATTTACAAAACATTATCACATTTATTTTTATAACCATGGATCCAAAGATGATGATGATGTCTATTGAATTAAAGTGTGAAATCATAGAAAAACATGAGCAAGGTGTGCGAGTAATTGACTTGGCGAGGATGTACGGGCATAGCACATCAATGATATGTACTGTGCTTAAACAGAAGGAGTTGATAAAGGGTATAACACCAGCTAAGGGCATTACAATAATTCCTAAGCTCCGGACCTCTCTCCATGAAAAGATGGAGAAACTACTGATGGTGTGGGTGACAGAGAAGCAGCTTCAAGAAGGAACCTCAACACAAAGCATCATATGTGAGAAGGCATGAGCAATTTACGGTGATTTGCTGAAGCAGATTCCACACACTTCCACAAACGAGGAATCGGAAGACTCCTTTAAAGCCAGTTGGGGCTGGTTTGACAACTTTAGGAAAAGGCCCGGCATTCACTCCGTCGTCAGGCATGGTGAGACAGCAAGTTGGGATGTGAAGGCAGCTGAGGTTTACATCAAAACGCTTTCTGAACTGATAGAAGCCAAAAGATACATCCCCCAGCAAGTCTTCAACTGTGATGAGACAGGGCTTTTCCGGAAAAGGATGCCGAATAGGACTTACATAACGGCAGAGGAGAAGACAATGCCAGGTCACAAACCCATGAAGGATAGATTAACTCTAGCACTTTGCGCCAATGTGAGTGGCGACTGCAAAATCAAGTCTCTGCTAGTATACCATTCGGAAAATCCCAGAGCCTTTAAGTCACATAAGATTTTAAAAGAAAAACTGCAAGTTATGTGGAGGGCAAATCCGAAGGCATGGGTCACTAGGAAATTCTTTGTGGAGTGGATAAACCTGGTGTTTGGCCCTTCTGTTAAAAAATATCTACAGGAAAACAACCTACTCATGCAAGCCCTTCTCGTTCTTGACAATGCCCTGCTCACCCACCAAATCTCGAAGATGATTTACTCGAAGAGTTCAAGTTTATAAAGGTTCTCTACCTACCACCCAACACCACTCCTATCCTGCAGCCCATGGATCAGCAGGTGATTTCTAATTTTAAGAAGTTGTACACCAAGCACATTTTTTGGCGCTGATTTGAGGTGACGGAGAACACAAACCTTACCCTTCGAGAGTTCTAGAAGGACCACTTTAACATCGTAATATGCCTAAGAATTATTGATCAGCCTGACTGGGTGTTACAACGAGGACCTTAACCTCTGCCTGGAAGAAGCTGTGGCCTGAGGCTGTAGCTGAAAGGGCCTTCGAAGGATTGGAACCTGAAGTGTCAGTGGTAGAGGAGATTGTTTCTCTGGGAAAATCCATGGGTCTGGAGGTGGATGAGAGAGATGTGAACGAACTCGTCGAGGAACAGTCTCAGGAGCTGACAACCGAGGAGTTACATGATCTACATTCGCAGCAGCATACGGTGGTGCAACGAAAAATTAGTTTTGAAGAGGAGCCAGAGATGGAGGAGGTTATCTCTACAAGAGATATAAAGGAGATCTTGGGAATGTGGGAGAAAGTTGTAGAGTTCGTGGATAAAAATCACCCCAAAAAAGTTGCAACTGGTCGTGCATCGGAGTTGTTAAACGAAACTTGCCTAACTCATTTCCGCAATATCCTGAAAGGGAGGAAGAAACAAACCTCCTTGGACAGTTTTTTTAAACGATCTGCACGTGAAAATTAGCAAAGCGTGACAAAAAAAGCGAAGACCAGTGACGAAAATTAAGCGCTTCTGTAAGCACTTCACTTTTTCTTTTATTATNATAAATTTATATAAGTTTTGTGATATTTTATGTTCAATATACATTGAACATAAAATATCACAAATTTATTTTTTTGGGAGATGTTGCTCCCCACATCAAGGAATGCATAGTAAATAATTAATTGTGGAATGGTTTACATTATTATTAGAATATACAAACTTAGTAAATTCCCTTCATTTTGACAATGTCAAGACAGACCAACTCCAATCTTATTTTACAAATCAAGTTTTTTAAAGTATCTAAAATACAACTTAACTCAGCCTGAAGAGTAAAAATGGTAGAATTTTGCTGTATAGTCAAAGCTCAAAAACAAGTTTTTTTGGCCAGTTAGAGGTATTTCTAAACTCTAAATAGCTTATTGCAATACCTGTCTGTCTCTCTAACAGATCAGTTTTAAAAGAAAATATGATGAAAATAATTTTGATAAACAAAATCTTAAAAATTGACTAGGACCAGTTTGTAATTGATTCATATAAAAAAATCACAGAGTAGACAAATCTGTCAAGAAAGTTTTATTTACAATAAACTTATTTTTTCAACTAACTCAACTATCCTGGCTTTACACACTCCCATTTTAAAATTGGGGGATTTTCTTAGTTAACTACATAATTTAGAGGCTGAATCTTTACATTTGAACTCCATCACAGAAAAATATATTAAATTTAGTTACAAAAGGATTTATAAAGAATGTTATCTTTTTGGATGAAGATGAAATAGTCAGAATTTACATTTTCATCAAAATATGTTTTAGTTGTATTAATATGTACATTAGTTCACAAATATCTGAAAAAGGTTTTGACAATTACTTTAATCTGCACCTGGAACTTCAGCCAGTTCTACGTCATTTAAAATTGATGACTGGAAGGTTGGGTCGATGACGTAAACGGCTTTCTTTACTTTTGAAGATAATTCATCAACTCTAAAATAAAAAAAAAATAATAATTACAAGGCATTTATTTTTAAAGAGATTTTTATGTAAGATTTGCAGTTATGATTTTGGTTGGTCTTTCTAACAGAAAACTATACCAATCTTTAAAAATTTGGCTTTGTAAGTATTCTTCCAATTGATTCTTTTTATTTTTGATAAACAAAGAATAAAATGTCTTCACTTTTGCCAAGTCCAATTACTTATTTCTACATATATTTTTTAATTGTTTAAAAGTTCTCTGGTGACGAGCCCAAGACTATTTTTCAAAGGAGTAGTCTCTGAAGAGAGGTCATCTCTGCAGTGGAAGATTGTTGTTCCTGTGATTGGACATGGTAAAAGTGAAGACATTTTAGCCCTACATATTTTTTATTAATGCATAAATTTATAAATTGGATAATTTAACTAAAAAACAAAAACTGAAAAAACACTTTATATAAACAAATGTTATTCCTGATCATATAAACATTACACTAATGCACAATTGTAAATTTATATATAATTAAAAAAATACAGTAGAACCTCGATTATCCGGACTAATTGGGGATGAAGGTAGTCCGGATAATCGAAACAAATACTTTAATTAGTCTTTTAATGATAATACAACACGTTTTCTTTTCGATGACATATCGGTAATATTAAAAGTAAATACTGTATTTAAATCGTGATCAAATTTTCAAGAAACAAACGTTCGTATTGAATTTGGACTACTACTGACCAGCGCTAACAGACTACCCATTGTTTAAAAGGCCCTCTGGCAGCTCAAGAATACGGATTTTATAAAATAAAAAGCAGTTGAAACTGCATTTTTATGAATAAAAATTTGACAAACTATTTATCGTTTTATGACGAGTAAAATTTTTTCGTCGCGTTCGCGGCTTTTAAGTAATGCATAAACCTTCGAGGCGCGAGGCCCTTCGGACCGCGAGGCATAGGCGGTGGCCCACGTCGTCCATGCCTTACACCGCCCTTAATCATAGAAATGATGTAACTTGAATATAAATTATTTATAAATACTTATGTCAAGTTATATTTTTATTACTACATAAAATATATTAAGAGTTTATGACCACTGTGCTGGGTGAGACGTTGTTGAAACAAAAAAAGTTATGCATTCCATCACGTACATAAACAGTGTTGTAATTCGCCAAGTGCAAATCAGCAAATTCGTAAATTTTTGTTTATTTTGAACAATCCGGATAATGGAGGTCCGGATAATGGAGGTTCTACTGTACTAATCTTAAACAATCCGTAGGATTTTTAGAGGTTGACATAAGTGCACCAGATTTTATTGTTTATTCTGACAGCCACTTAATGGTTTCTAGACAATTAAACAAATCTGCAATGTCTTTCCAATTCAGACAATCACCCAAGGACAAACAATTGAGTAATTGGTTTCAAGTGATTGTCGTTATTGAAAAAGACATTGCAGGCTTCCTTAATCATCTAAATCCTCTTTTAAGTGATTGTCAGGATAAAATTTGATTTTAATATCCTGTCTGTAATATCAGTAACTTAAGAAATGTAGAACTATTAGAATGATTGTCCATATATGAAACAGATTTAAAATGTCAGGAAAAAACTCCAAAAAGACCAGATTACGTAATAAATGACACCTCGAGTACTCAATTTCAGAATGTTTGACAGAATCAAAATTCAAAAACTGCTTCCCATTTTGGTATGAATTAATCCAGACATCTTGCAGGTTCTGTCTTTCACAAATGCATCTCATGACATCTACAGGTATTGCACATCTTATATGAAAAATGAAGACAAACTTAATTGCACAAGGAAAATTTGGAGAAAGTAATTAAACATAGTAAAAAATGCAATTTCACTATCTTTTGTTGAATGTAGATTTATTATAATTTCTGTATATTTTATAAAGAAAAACAAATTATTGCATATTATTGAATTTATTTAAACAAAAATTTATAAAAATTAATTTGAATTAAAATTTTAGATTTTACACTATTCAAATTTTCTTTGTCTAGAAAACTGATACATTATTTAGATATGAGTCATTTACATCAAAATTTTGTGAGGATAAATTTAAAAAATTTTAATTCACACTTGAATTTAATTGTCTACTTGGACATAATGCATTTGTGTAATTAAGTTAAAGTATTAAGTACATTTAAACTGTATAGCAATTTTAAAATTCAGAAAAAACTTTCAGGAGGAAAAATAATAAAGATTAGAGGATAACATAAATGTATAGTAAATATTTAGTATAAATGTTACTATTAAAAGTGATAGCATACCATCACTACACTAGCGTAGTGAGGGAGGGGCAAGGGGGTCTATCATGCCCCGGTCTCCAAGACAAACAAGATTTGCTTCTGGAGGGGGGCATCAATAAAGTGTCATGCCCCAGGCGCCAGTTATGGTTGCTACGCCACTGCATCACTAGTAACATAGGACTTTGCATGAAGAAGATTGAAATTTTCTGTAAATTTAACAGTTTAAAAAACAAAAATTATGTTAAAATTTGTCAATTCTTACAAATAAAAACACTCAGATACAAAGTTTTAGTAGTAGACTAGAGAAATAAGTTTTTATACAATAAAATAAAATAAGCAACTGATAAATTATATACTGTTGATTATACAGTTAGTTTTGTCAATAATAAATTAGATATGTCTTGTTTATAAAATCTTACTGCCAGATGTTCTTTCCAGCATAGAGTTATGAAGGAGTACATGTCGAGAGTTGATATTTGGCACAGAGTATTAGGTGCACATAAAAAAAAATCCAGACTTGTAGGTAGTCGGGGAACCGAGAATTGAGTCAAAATAAAATACAAAATGGCAACTTCTTCCACATACAGGCAAAACAAGCCACCTCACCCCACCGAAGTCAGGTAGGGGAGAGTACCACCCACAATCATTCTAAGAAGTTAACTCTGGCCTTAGGACCGAACACGTAGTTTTTTTCTGTGTTAAATAAAATTTGTAATTAATTTTGTAAATTCAAATATGACATTAAAACAGTTTTATGTCATTACGAGTGGGCTTTTTTTTTTAACATGATCTAGTATAGTAAAATTGTAGGACAGATGAAAATTTGACGTTATATTAGGGTTGTTGTTACATTCAACGACATTATAACTGGGTTAAACTGTATATTGTTTGTGCAAAATAAAAAAAATAATCATGGCTACTGTATCATCCGAAATTATTTTTTTCAAAAATGGGAACTTTTCGTTATGCATCGACAAAAATTCAACCCGAGCAGACACATAATGGAGAGAAATTTTGAAATTAGATAGGTTAATTTCATTGAAGATGCATCATGGACGATCTCGTGGATGGCGAAGTTTGAATGATCGCACCCAAAAGCAGCAATATCAAAGAAGATAGGAGAATGAGAACGAGACCTGTCTTGAGCATCAAAGTGATTCCGTCTCCAAGACAAGTCTTGTCCCAAATACGGTTTTGCTATTTTACTTGTTTTATTTATGAAATACATAATCAAAAGCAAACTCAGGAATGAGAAATTGTTACTTTTGTAATCATATCTTCACAAACATGACCTATTTTCAATCTAAATTCTATCAGGTGTAATACTTTATTCAAATTTTAAATGGAATATTCAAACAAATAATTTAAACAAATTTAAAGAATACAAAAGCAGTAAAGTAAAAATATAAAACGAACAATTATTTATTGTGACATTGTCAATGTTTGGCTGCAATTTTTAATCATTTTTAATTTAATTTAAAATATATGCTCTCCATCTCAAATTAGTAGTGTGTTGCCTCTGTACATCATACTTTCCTGTGAGATGACTGGCACAACTCTCTAGCTAACTCCTTTCAGGGGAAAATTGAAATAACATGATTTCTGGTGCAAACCAAAAGTTCATATATAGTTAATCTGGGGCTTCCTGTTCCTAAGCTTTCTGTATCTAGTTTTGACATTCATCTAACTAACTCAGTTTGAGATCACAGAAGGACAGATGACAGTGGGAATTTATAGGTCCTAATTTTTTCAAATTGCAGCCCATTAAGTAGCAAATAATATATTAAAGTATAAATTACTATAAAATTACAATTTATTTCAAAAGATAAACTATCAGATGTATATACTATAAAACTTTACTAATAAAATTAACATCAACGTTTGACAGTTTATTGAAATTTATATAATAAAATAATGTAATATATAATTATCAGAAAAATATTTTCTTTCAAGATTAGGTAATATTATAAAGACTTGTTTAACACTAATTTCTAGATAATAATTTTTAATCTGTAAATTTTCAAATAAAATGTTACTGACTATAATAAATAATAAAATTGACTTACTTATCATATATTATACCATCAACACCCTCTTCTTTTAGGTTGTTAATAAGATGTGAGCAATTTACATCATCTCCCCAAATAAATAGAACAAGATTTTTACTTTTCACAAAACTTATTAATGATCTATTCTTTAGAATTTCTTCTGCATGAACATCTATACCCTAATGCGTGTAAAATTAAACATTATATATTAGAAATTAAAACAGTATTTTTAATTTATTGAAATTATTCAATATACTCAAATACAGTATTTCACATAGAATTATATAAGACAAAACCAAAAGGTTTGAAAGACGTTAATCTTTTAATTTAAAATAGCATTAAATCTAAACAAATTCCATCTATTTTCATAAGAGTTTTATTGCGAAAGTAATTATATGTATAGTGAAATTATAATCTAACAATTAAAACCAGACATTTTAAAGAGAAATATAAACATGTTTGCAAGAAGACTTTTTCCATGCCCATCATGTATTTTGTCAGGCCCATAATAGAGCAATCAGGTGATGGGGGTCTAATATCCAGAACAGACTGAATGACCATGAAAAATTTCTGGGGTTTCAGCCTGGATTCAATCTGACATTTCAGAGCATTAAGGCTGGAGCTGTAATCACTTCAGCCATTAATAGTATTCAATTATTTGATGACCAAACAATTTCTCAGAAAAAATAACTGCTGTAACTTAAATTTCATCAGTAAAATTTAAATTGAATTTTCTGAGATTTCTATGTAAGAGGAAAGCAACAAAAGTTTTTTGTTCTTTCAACAAGCAAAAATTATGGGATATGAATGACAAATACAAAACATGGAGATTGATTCAGTCTATGAATTTCCCCAAATGAAAAGGGAAGCCATTAATTTTTTTTTTCAAATTTATGCATAAAATACTTATGTATAGTTAATTGCTACATATACAGTATTTGATATAATTATTGTGTGATTACCATGTATATTTAAAATTTATTATCTAGTATATTTAACAAATTAATTTAAATAAGCTCTAATATAAATTTACCAGGATTCCAATGCTAAGTGCAAAAAATGCAGCCATAGGAACAGATGATGTCCTTAAATCTAAATAAGCAGGATATTTTTCTGTAACACCTTGAGTTAAAAACAATAAGGGGTACTTATTTTGTTTCATTCGAATCCTGAAAAACATTTTAGATTCAATCTGTCAATTTATTTATATCAAAATATTTACTATTAAAAATATTTATTTAGTAGAATAAAAATTAAAATATTGAATTAAACTAAACAGATTTTTCTATGTTCAGTTTTATTATTGTAACAATGAGTAAAACTAAACCATTTTAATAAAATCATGAAAACAACAAATGTAAAACTATTTAAGTTGCTTTATATTAAATATCTTTAAATACAGTAGACCATCCATTATCCAAAATAATCAGGATGGGACAATTTCAGATAACTGATCACATTCAGTAGGGAAAGAGTAAAAAAAAAATATAATAAAAAGGTAATTAATTTTTGTACAATAGCAAAAAGCAATTAAGGCATAAATTTAATACATACAAATAAGAAAGTGAAGTCTTTAATTTATTAAAAACAAGCACTAGTTTTTCATTGTAATCTACAACATAATGATGAAACTTTGAATTCAAATTAAAAAAAATAGAAAAATTAATATTAAATATTGCACAAAACTCAAAATTTATTGCCATTCTTTTTTGAAGTAGTCTCTTATTTTGCTTTGTTTTTACATCGCTTTTCTTTCTAACTCTAAATACCCGACTTGCTTGATCGTCAAGAGTTGAAAACTGAAGTAACCTGAAACAGGTTTATGCTTCAGGCTGCATTTCTAACAATGTGAATGTGTCTCTAATGCACCAAATGTGCTTACTCACAATGCAGCATTTGATTCATTAGAAGCAAATGTGACTCATTGTGCTTTTCTATTTGTACGAGTACTATAATAAAATCTAACACTAATGATAAGATTTATTCAATCATCTGTAGGCATGCTGTTGAGCTGCATAAAAGTTTGGAGAATACAAATTCTGGAAATTACAAAGTTAATTTTGGTTAATAAATTTTTTGGATAATTGACAATCTACCATAATATTTTAATATAATCAGAATTAATATTGTTTAAAAAGTTTAATTTTTCATCATCAATAATTTACAGGAAAAAATTTATCTTATTTTTTTAAAACAATTTGTGCATGATTTCTATTATTATGATTAATATTCAGCAATGATGTTTTCATAATTTTGCATTAACTTATTCTTTCTTAAACAATAATTATTTAAATATGAAAACCCAATGCGTATTTTGTAAACAATAAATTCCATTAAAAAGTTCATTTTTAAGAAGTTTTCTTACAAAAAATTTCATTCTTACAATTACAAAAAGAAAAGTTTTAATTTTATAGTAGTAATAGTAATATTTAATATACGTTTTGTCATAATAAAGAAGGCAATGCAATGAACAACATTCAGAAAATTTATTAAACTGAATACTTACTGTAAAAGCATTATCTAAATATTTAGATGGAAGTATATAGTATTAGTTCATTCATTAATATATTACTATTTTAAACTGTTTCAAGTATTATAACAAAAAAAAATTTGAAAGAGCATTAACAATTGTATTAAAAATATCTTTTTAAAAGATATCAACTCAAAATTTTACTTTTACAAAGTTTATTTTTGCATAATTACATATTTGAAAGAAAATTATTGCCTAACTTTTAGTAATCAAGTAAAAAAAATTTTTTTTATGCAACATACTGAAAGTATTTTTAAATATTGGTTCTTTTAATTTTTTTAAAAAGCAAATTCAGGAAATTAAAACCTTCACACACAACAAAATTTTTCAAAAATGCAAATACTAATTGTTAGAAAAAAAGTGTTGTATAAAGAGGACTGATGAAAAGTTATCTAAACCATGCATTAGAATTCATGTGTAATTTGATTAGCTATGGTAAAAAACAATTTTTATGCAGTAAAAACCTCATTTTGATATAGGATAATTCAAAGTACAGGTAACCCCTGTATAACACGAGAGTTATGTTCCAAAAAATTTCCATGTTATGCGAATCCGTGTTATATGAAACAAAGAACTAGTGCGAAAAGGGGGTTAGGTTCCAAAACTTAAAAAAACATGCTGTTAAATCCTTATTTAGACCGGATTAATTATTCATTTTTTTCGTAGGTAAAATACTTATTTATTATTTAAGTAAATGTTTTACCAGAGGATTCATCCTATATGGTAATCTCAGCATGAGCATCATCAACTGGTAACAGTTTCTGAATGAGTTCGTTAATAGCGGTCGCACTGCAACGGGGGTGCGCTGCTGTTTGTAGGCATTTTGAACAATGGTGAAAGAAAGATGGCGGCGCCTGCACTATCGATAGTATTGTGATGGAGAAATCTATAATTCTAAAAAGAGCTTTTAGAGGCAAAAGAAGGGTCCAAATTGTAAAATTTAACCATTAAATGGATTATTTGTTGAAAGAGCATTCAAAGTAGCCACGAAAACAATTATAATGCTTGCATGGAGTTATAAAAGAACACACCCTTTATTACATTTCATGTTGTACGAGGGTTTTATCCAATTCCCAAACCGTGTTAGAGTGAACCCGTGCTATAAAAGCACCGTGTTATATGGGGTTACCTGTATTGTTGCAAAATTTGTAGTCTAGTCCCTGACCAAGAAAATAGGATTTTGTATATTTTAATTTGGATAATTTGAAATATGTATACAATGAAATTTGAAGTCATTATCTGCTCCAGTGACCTGCAAAAATATCATTTATATTATATCCATCATATTACATGTTTACAAGGAAAGTTTCCATGCCAAAGTGACAGTTTTGTTTTTGGTTTATACATTGAATGATGTTGAACACATGTACAGAAAATCAACAGATATTATAGATTTCTCCATCACGATGCTATCGATAGTGCATGCGCCACCATCTTTCTTTCACCATTGTTCAAAATGCCTACAAACAGCAGCGCACCCCCGTTGCAGTGAAACCGCTATTTCACCTGCCGTTGAGTGAAACCGCTCATTCAAAAACTGTTACCAGTTGATGATGCTCATGCTGAGATTACCATATAGGATGAATAATCCTCTGGTAAAACATTTAATTAAGTAATAAATAAATATTTTACCTATGAAAAAAATTAATAATAAATCCGGTAAATTTAAAAGTTTATTATTATGGAAGAAATCTGTTTGGCCTTTATCTTGGACATTTTTTGCAAAAATTTGTTGTTTCAGTAATTCCAAAGTCCATTAAATACACACGTATATTCAGGATAGAATGTGTACTTATAGCTTTAGCCATTAATAGAGCTTGCTTTCATCAGTTCACATGATTTTCATAATCTCAAACTCAAGTGAAATTCATAGCAATTCTTAACGAAACACTTAAGATACTTTTGTATATTATTTTCAGGTCTTGCTTTGAATGTAATTTAAATGTAAAATGTTTATGCTAGACATTTTGGGCAATATTTAGACTAAGTAGTTCAATAAAGTTAGTTGATTATAGGCCTCTACTTTTCAGCCAAAAATTATGTTGGAAAAATTAGACTTGTTTTTAATTAAAAATAAAATGATACATAAATGTACTATACTATAAAATGGAATATTTTTTCTTAACATAAATGCATTGGATAAAAATTACATACTTTACAAAGTTAAGTGTATCATTGAAAGAAGTTCTTTTACTCCAAATATATGATATGATACACAATGGTAACATTGTGTATCATATCATATATTTATGATATGATACACAATCATATATATATATTATGATACACAATGGTAACATTGTGTATCATATTTGCAGCAAAAGAACTTAAGTGTTTTATTTTTAAACATATATCAAAGTTAAACTCCTAATATAAAATCATTATCTTCAAATTCTTTGAAACAAAAATTAACTTATTCTTTAAGAATTTCTATGCATAATTAAAATTAATTCAATTTTTTCTTAATTTGAAATTCATAAAAAGATCTATAGAAGACTAGATAATAAAATTGTATTTTCACTACAAAAATCTTGATCAATCAGAAAAATTCAGATTATCTATCAAAAAATAAAACAGAAAATAGCAGAATTTTCATTAATGTCCTCAAAAATCAGTCAAAAATCATAACTTTTAGAAGATGATTTTTGAAGAAATTAAACAATGTTAAAAGGAAATTAAATTTATGGTCAATTTTATACTATGACACACACTATATCTCTGAGAACCAACATTTATTGCTTTAACAAACATTTTCAAACCTGATCAACAGGCCATCAGGTATTTTCAATTCTCTGGAGCATTTTTATAATTGTTCCATAGATTCGAATGATTATATGAAAAATTCAAATTTATAAAGGTTCTCACTCTGTCAATATAATTCCATATATTGTGTTAGTATATTTATATTGTATTTTATTTATTTAATTCCTTCATTTCACATAATTATACTGTTTGTTATATTTGATATTTTAACAAAGTGTTCAAAACTTTATAAATTTGAATTTCTTTTCACATAATCATTTGAATATTGAACCATTATAAAAACGTTCCAGAGAATTGAAAATACCTGATGATGGCCTGTTGATCAGGTTGAAAACATTTGTTAAAGCAATAAACATTGATTCTCATAGATATAAGACGTGTTTGTCATAGTATTTAAGGAGTCTGAGTATATGTTGAAATCAATTTTATAACTTGTTTACTAATTTTTAAAATTGGATAGAAGTTGAATTTGCAACTTGATGTTTTAGAAAACAAAATTTTATCTTCAATTAAAAATAGTGAACCTTATCAAATCAATATTTATTTGATAAAAATTCTCTTCATTTACTTGATTTCCATAATCTTGCATCATTATGAATGAAATTTATAATTTCTGGCTGTAATTTACTACTCTAACAAAAATGTTTTAATAGTTAAAATCTCTTTTGTGAAAATCAAACAAGTTTTTGCAATAAAAAATACCTTAACCTAGTAATAATTATTTGTAAATTTCTGAATTAACTTCATAAAATTTTATATGCAAATATAACTATACTTATGAGTACAGATAAGATATGTGTATTCATATGTATGTAAAAAAACACACTGAAATATCAGATTAACTGAAAAATATACAAATATTGAGTTGAACATTCCAAACATTTCACTATCAATTTTACATTTCATATAAAAAAATACTACTACTTACATACTGCAAATATCAGGATCAAAACAAGATAATATTATGTATCGTGTACCAGCATATTTTAAAATAATAGTTAATATTTTATCTAAGTAGTCATTAAGTTCAAATCGCTGATCAAGCTCCCAAGTGCCATCCTGTAGCAATAGTTTAAAATATTAGTATCAAATATTAAATTTTAACTTAAAGAATTTCCATAGTTCACCCTTAATTGCATTGGACTTTTTATTTCAATATTAAAGCTAGCTTCAGGCACAACAGCTTTCAGACAATATTCTAATGTTGGAAATGGCTGATTATCTTCATAATCATCATCTCTAAATAAATTTGTATCCCCTATTCATAAGATAATATATATAATAAAATTATACTTTATTACATACTACTACATTGAATTTTATAAGCATAAAATGCATATAATGTAATTACTTATTTTATAATAATTAAAAAATTTTTGTATGGTTTACCTGTAGCTGGATTGAGCTGAAAAAGAAAAAAACGATTGCAAATAATTAATGAAAGGTCCATGCATTACTATGAGAAAATTAAATAGTAAATATAGAATTTAATATTCAAGTTTAAGTTAGGCTTTACACATTACTTCAGATATAATAAAGCCACTTTATCTGAATTCAAAATTGTGGCATAAATATAATTGGTGTGTATGTTAATATTACAATTTGTTGGAGAAAAACAATTTCAGAAGATGAATCAAAATTAATATAAAAACACACACATACTATTGGATTTCTTAAGTTCATCTTTAGAGGATGTAAACAAAATACAAAGTAAATCGTTCAGAGTAATAAATAAAGTATAACATTCTGTAATGCTTTCAAATCAAAATGAGAATTTAAAAAAACATTTCCAGCAAATATGTATTTAAATTAAACACACAATGGAATGTTTTTTGGCCTCTTAAGGGCCTACATCAAGCATCAAACTTTGTAGAACATTGGAGATTTTAGAATGTTTTTAAAATTGTTTTCCTTTTGATATCAAGTCATTTTTGAATGTTTAACATGTGTTACATTTCTCATATACTCTACAAATTACTATTATAAGACAACACTATAGATAAGTTTCAGTATGTGCATGTATCATCTTGTAAAATCATTTAGCTGCTTCCCTTTAGAGAGTTATCAACCAACAACTGCCATGCAGCAGATATGTCACTCAGTCATTACTTTTAATACACTTACCATTGATTGATGCATTAAAAATTTCCCAGGCCTACAAGGTTCTTATATTTGATCATCAAAGACTTATTAGTTTTGCCTTATCCCAGATAATTGACACCCTGGACTTGCTCGCATATTGGATCAGAGTTGTTACTAGTTTATCATTACAGATGTCCTGTAGGTGTTCTTTAATGCTGTGTGTCAATGTGATCTCAGAGATATTACATATGTGGCATCTACTTTCAAATCTATTGTTTATTATGGGGACAACATACCCCTTGATCTTATCTTTGGTGTTGGATAATGAGCAAAGATGATTGGATTGTGCTGATTCATTAGCCAAATACATTAACACAAGGCTATCTTTTTATAAGTGGTTTGCAGTCTTGGATCAAAGTCCATTATAAGTTATATTTGAATTAAATACAAAATGTTCCATTTTGTATTTAATTCACATACATATTTGCTGGAAATGTGAATGTATGGTATGTTGCTTTTAATTTATGTTCCAGCTATTACACACTTACATTACAGAAGGAGGATGCTTTGAAAATTTATCAAAATTAACAACCAGCCATAAATTTATAATTGTCACAAATTGCATGCTATGTGTTTTTAAAGTACAAAATAGCATTCTAAAAGATCTGTTAATTAACATAGATTTTTGATTATACAGTAAATACGGTTTATGAATAGGTATCTATTTTGATTTGAAAGTCTTTAGAATGTTATGTTTGAGTAAATTTTCTGTTTGACATTTGGATTTTATATTTTCTGGATTTTATATTTTCTGAAGATGGACTCAAGTGCCTTATTGGTGTTAGACTTTATTTTGACCATTTTAACTCCAATACAATAGTATTTTTATTTTATATTTTAGCTTTTAGAATATCCTGTATTCTAAAATCAAAATTTGCTTTCATTTTTGAATAATTTATTAAAAAAATGAAATGATAGTACAATAAGACCCTGTTTAACACTGCCTCAATTAACACTGATTTGATATAATGCAGTCTGCTTGAAGCCTAAAAGAAAAGCTCAAAATTTACACTGATTCAAATTATCGCAGCATTTCATTGATTTGTATATAATATGATTATTTATGAACACAAACCAATCAGCAAAAAGGTTGCAATTCATCTTAGCACTATACTTCCCTTAAATCTATGTTTTGTGCTATTTTGGAAAAAATAACATCATGGATCATCATGCCAAGCAAAGTTCATATGTCTGATATCCATTAGACATATGAACTTTGCTTGGCAAGAATTAGCTGATAAACACATGGAGTGTGGAAGAAGATATGACTGGAGGTATCCAAGGATTCTCACGAGAAGAGTCTATTGTTGACTAAATTGTCAACCTAATCGATACAGCAAGAGGAGGAGATGTAGACAAGCAGGATATTGAGGAGTTACTGCAGGTTCTGGTGAGAGCCTTAAATTTTATCTAAAGTGGAATTTTGTTCTAATTATATAGAATCAGCACTGTTAAATTAGGTTAAAAAATCAACAGAAAACTGCTTACTATTGGCATGCATGCACAAAGTTAAATTGATAAATAAGAAAATCAATTAATCAAAATATTTTTATATTAAAGGATGTTTAATAAAAAAAATTAAGCCATTAAGACCATTCATAGCTCTTTAAAGCAGAAATTTAATTAAAGAATGTAGAATTTGAATAATTATGAAAGGATAAAACAGTACATACGAAGTTTAATCATCCAAAACAAATGTTTTCCTAACCCCTTCTGAGTTCATCTTCAGGTAAATCAGCTGGATCAAACTCTAATATGAACATTGTATGCACCTGTTAAAGGTTCAAGTAGGTCATATTTTGTTATATACAACCTGATGTGCAGTTTCTGTTTTAGGATAAAAACTTGTTGCTTAGTAGTAAATAACTGCATACCAATTTTAATTTTTATTATAAGTGATAAAATTAAAAACTGGGAGAACACATTTAAATTATTATATGAAATTTTGAAAATAAGTTGAATCATAAAAAGAAATCTATAAGTCTATTGTAAGAGAAATAGTAGTATAAAATAGTCAAAAGTGGTATGTGATTTACTTCTAGACAGCAACAGTGCAATGCAAATGCACAACTAAGTGGTGTTTTTTTTCACCTACAGCAGAAGTGCAGTCAAAATAGCAACCTTATTCAATATCATTCCCATAAAAAAAAATATTAAAAATTGTTCTTTAGAAATGTATTTATGATTAAGTTAAAAACTAGAAGATTAACTGTAATGCTTTTTTTTGCTTACTACATTCAAAGAATATTAATAACTTTGTATTTGATCTCAACCAAATAAATTAATTTTTAAGTATTGTATATTGACAGTATGTACTTTTTAACCTCAAATTATACTATCCTTAAATAGAATAAGTCAATATTACTGATTTTCAACCTGATGTAATACTTATGTGATAAAGAATACTAATTTTGAATGTAGCCTATGAAAAAAATATTAAATTTATTTAATTTTAAATAGATCAGTTTTAACTAAGAATTTAATTGTAAATCATTCATATTTCATATATTAGATATAACATATGCTTTTCCTTATTTGCATAAAAATTAAAAAGAAAGCAATAGATTCATACTTCTCAATAGCGAAGTTCCAAATATATATATGATGATCAAAAATTAATGTATCCGAACAGCCGTTGTTTTAACCAATTTATTAAAGTTGTAATGATGAATTAAGTTTGTTCACAAATTCAAACAGAACTGTAGATATAATGTTGATTGAAAAACTTGCTAGAAATAATTTCTTCACTATGAAATTTCTTATACTTTGGGATGAGATAAAAGCAGTATTCTTTGCTTCAACTTGATTTAAATTCATGTAGTAAAATGAATAATGATTTTCTAATATTCATACTTCCATTAATCTAAATGGAAATAACATCTTGATATGGAATTATTCAAGCAGCTATCTCAACCTTAGAATTATACTATGCATCTTGTTATTTCATTTAACATAGTAGTAAAATAACTGTACACAATATTTAACCTAAAACTAAGTTAACCTTTAGCTGTTTTAGCTGCTTTTCTGTCAAGTCTTTAACAGCCACTTCTAGTAGTTCTGTTGTACTTGATTCCTTTTTCTATTAAAAACAAAACAATTAATTTAAGAATTTAGTTAGTTATTCTTGGCTAATTAAGTACTTATTCTTACACTTTTTGGAGAGAGACAAATATAGTAATCATGATATACAATTGGGACTTTATCTTTTGTCAGTTGGACATCTAATTCTACCATGTCTGCACCCTGTAAAGCATATACAGATATTATCATAAAGACTTATTTCATAATAATGTTGGAAGTATTATCCAAATATTAATACTTTCAAGTCATAAGTCTATATAAGATGTATATTATTATTATTATATAAATTAATGTATAATTTAAATAAATTTTTTTCTTTAANGTTAAAGCATTAAGTACATTTAAACTGTATAGCAATTTTAAAATTCAGAAAAAACTTTCAGGAGGAAAAATAATAAAGATTAGAGGATAACATAAATGTATAGTAAATATTTAGTATAAATGTTACTATTAAAAGTGATAGCATACCATCACTACACTAGCGTAGTGAGGGAGGGGCAAGGGGGTCTATCATGCCCCGGTCTCCAAGACAAACAAGATTTGCTTCTGGAGGGGGGCATCAATAAAGTGTCATGCCCCAGGCGCCAGTTATGGTTGCTACGCCACTGCATCACTAGTAACATAGGACTTTGCATGAAGAAGATTGAAATTTTCTGTAAATTTAACAGTTTAAAAAACAAAAATTATGTTAAAATTTGTCAATTCTTACAAATAAAAACACTCAGATACAAAGTTTTAGTAGTAGACTAGAGAAATAAGTTTTTATACAATAAAATAAAATAAGCAACTGATAAATTATATACTGTTGATTATACAGTTAGTTTTGTCAATAATAAATTAGATATGTCTTGTTTATAAAATCTTACTGCCAGATGTTCTTTCCAGCATAGAGTTATGAAGGAGTACATGTCGAGAGTTGATATTTGGCACAGAGTATTAGGTGCACATAAAAAAAAATCCAGACTTGTAGGTAGTCGGGGAACCGAGAATTGAGTCAAAATAAAATACAAAATGGCAACTTCTTCCACATACAGGCAAAACAAGCCACCTCACCCCACCGAAGTCAGGTAGGGGAGAGTACCACCCACAATCATTCTAAGAAGTTAACTCTGGCCTTAGGACCGAACACGTAGTTTTTTTCTGTGTTAAATAAAATTTGTAATTAATTTTGTAAATTCAAATATGACATTAAAACAGTTTTATGTCATTACGAGTGGGCTTTTTTTTTAACATGATCTAGTATAGTAAAATTGTAGGACAGATGAAAATTTGACGTTATATTAGGGTTGTTGTTACATTCAACGACATTATAACTGGGTTAAACTGTATATTGTTTGTGCAAAATAAAAAAAATAATCATGGCTACTGTATCATCCGAAATTATTTTTTTCAAAAATGGGAACTTTTCGTTATGCATCGACAAAAATTCAACCCGAGCAGACACATAATGGAGAGAAATTTTGAAATTAGATAGGTTAATTTCATTGAAGATGCATCATGGACGATCTCGTGGATGGCGAAGTTTGAATGATCGCACCCAAAAGCAGCAATATCAAAGAAGATAGGAGAATGAGGACGAGACCTGTCTTGAGCATCAAAGTGATTCCGTCTCCAAGACAAGTCTTGTCCCAAATACGGTTTTGCTATTTTACTTGTTTTATTTATGAAATACATAATCAAAAGCAAACTCAGGAATGAGAAATTGTTACTTTTGTAATCATATCTTCACAAACATGACCTATTTTCAATCTAAATTCTATCAGGTGTAATACTTTATTCAAATTTTAAATGGAATATTCAAACAAATAATTTAAACAAATTTAAAGAATACAAAAGCAGTAAAGTAAAAATATAAAACGAACAATTATTTATTGTGACATTGTCAATGTTTGGCTGCAATTTTTAATCATTTTTAATTTAATTTAAAATATATGCTCTCCATCTCAAATTAGTAGTGTGTTGCCTCTGTACATCATACTTTCCTGTGAGATGACTGGCACAACTCTCTAGCTAACTCCTTTCAGGGGAAAATTGAAATAACATGATTTCTGGTGCAAACCAAAAGTTCATATATAGTTAATCTGGGGCTTCCTGTTCCTAAGCTTTCTGTATCTAGTTTTGACATTCATCTAACTAACTCAGTTTGAGATCACAGAAGGACAGATGACAGTGGGAATTTATAGGTCCTAATTTTTTCAAATTGCAGCCCATTAAGTAGCAAATAATATATTAAAGTATAAATTACTATAAAATTACAATTTATTTCAAAAGATAAACTATCAGATGTATATACTATAAAACTTTACTAATAAAATTAACATCAACGTTTGACAGTTTATTGAAATTTATATAATAAAATAATGTAATATATAATTATCAGAAAAATATTTTCTTTCAAGATTAGGTAATATTATAAAGACTTGTTTAACACTAATTTCTAGATAATAATTTTTAATCTGTAAATTTTCAAATAAAATGTTACTGACTATAATAAATAATAAAATTGACTTACTTATCATATATTATACCATCAACACCCTCTTCTTTTAGGTTGTTAATAAGATGTGAGCAATTTACATCATCTCCCCAAATAAATAGAACAAGATTTTTACTTTTCACAAAACTTATTAATGATCTATTCTTTAGAATTTCTTCTGCATGAACATCTATACCCTAATGCGTGTAAAATTAAACATTATATATTAGAAATTAAAACAGTATTTTTAATTTATTGAAATTATTCAATATACTCAAATACAGTATTTCACATAGAATTATATAAGACAAAACCAAAAGGTTTGAAAGACGTTAATCTTTTAATTTAAAATAGCATTAAATCTAAACAAATTCCATCTATTTTCATAAGAGTTTTATTGCGAAAGTAATTATATGTATAGTGAAATTATAATCTAACAATTAAAACCAGACATTTTAAAGAGAAATATAAACATGTTTGCAAGAAGACTTTTTCCATGCCCATCATGTATTTTGTCAGGCCCATAATAGAGCAATCAGGTGATGGGGGTCTAATATCCAGAACAGACTGAATGACCATGAAAAATTTCTGGGGTTTCAGCCTGGATTCAATCTGACATTTCAGAGCATTAAGGCTGGAGCTGTAATCACTTCAGCCATTAATAGTATTCAATTATTTGATGACCAAACAATTTCTCAGAAAAAATAACTGCTGTAACTTAAATTTCATCAGTAAAATTTAAATTGAATTTTCTGAGATTTCTATGTAAGAGGAAAGCAACAAAAGTTTTTTGTTCTTTCAACAAGCAAAAATTATGGGATATGAATGACAAATACAAAACATGGAGATTGATTCAGTCTATGAATTTCCCCAAATGAAAAGGGAAGCCATTAATTTTTTTTTTCAAATTTATGCATAAAATACTTATGTATAGTTAATTGCTACATATACAGTATTTGATATAATTATTGTGTGATTACCATGTATATTTAAAATTTATTATCTAGTATATTTAACAAATTAATTTAAATAAGCTCTAATATAAATTTACCAGGATTCCAATGCTAAGTGCAAAAAATGCAGCCATAGGAACAGATGATGTCCTTAAATCTAAATAAGCAGGATATTTTTCTGTAACACCTTGAGTTAAAAACAATAAGGGGTACTTATTTTGTTTCATTCGAATCCTGAAAAACATTTTAGATTCAATCTGTCAATTTATTTATATCAAAATATTTACTATTAAAAATATTTATTTAGTAGAATAAAAATTAAAATATTGAATTAAACTAAACAGATTTTTCTGTGTTCAGTTTTATTATTGTAACAATGAGTAAAACTAAACCATTTTAATAAAATCATGAAAACAACAAATGTAAAACTATTTAAGTTGCTTTATATTAAATATCTTTAAATACAGTAGACCATCCATTATCCAAAATAATCAGGATGGGACAATTTCAGATAACTGATCACATTCAGTAGGGAAAGAGTAAAAAAAAAAATATAATAAAAAGGTAATTAATTTTTGTACAATAGCAAAAAGCAATTAAGGCATAAATTTAATACATACAAATAAGAAAGTGAAGTCTTTAATTTATTAAAAACAAGCACTAGTTTTTCATTGTAATCTACAACATAATGATGAAACTTTGAATTCAAATTAAAAAAAATAGAAAAATTAATATTAAATATTGCACAAAACTCAAAATTTATTGCCATTCTTTTTTGAAGTAGTCTCTTATTTTGCTTTGTTTTTACATCGCTTTTCTTTCTAACTCTAAATACCCGACTTGCTTGATCGTCAAGAGTTGAAAACTGAAGTAACCTGAAACAGGTTTCTGCTTCAGGCTGCATTTCTAACAATGTGAATGTGTCTCTAATGCACCAAATGTGCTTACTCACAATGCAGCATTTGATTCATTAGAAGCAAATGTGACTCATTGTGCTTTTCTATTTGTACGAGTACTATAATAAAATCTAACACTAATGATAAGATTTATTCAATCATCTGTAGGCATGCTGTTGAGCTGCATAAAAGTTTGGAGAATACAAATTCTGGAAATTACAAAGTTAATTTTGGTTAATAAATTTTTTGGATAATTGACAATCTACCATAATATTTTAATATAATCAGAATTAATATTGTTTAAAAAGTTTAATTTTTCATCATCAATAATTTACAGGAAAAAATTTATCTTATTTTTTTAAAACAATTTGTGCATGATTTCTATTATTATGATTAATATTCAGCAATGATGTTTTCATAATTTTGCATTAACTTATTCTTTCTTAAACAATAATTATTTAAATATGAAAACCCAATGCGTATTTTGTAAACAATAAATTCCATTAAAAAGTTCATTTTTAAGAAGTTTTCTTACAAAAAATTTCATTCTTACAATTACAAAAAGAAAAGTTTTAATTTTATAGTAGTAATAGTAATATTTAATATACGTTTTGTCATAATAAAGAAGGCAATGCAATGAACAACATTCAGAAAATTTATTAAACTGAATACTTACTGTAAAAGCATTATCTAAATATTTAGATGGAAGTATATAGTATTAGTTCATTCATTAATATATTACTATTTTAAACTGTTTCAAGTATTATAACAAAAAAAAATTTGAAAGAGCATTAACAATTGTATTAAAAATATCTTTTTAAAAGATATCAACTCAAAATTTTACTTTTACAAAGTTTATTTTTGCATAATTACATATTTGAAAGAAAATTATTGCCTAACTTTTAGTAATCAAGTAAAAAAAATTTTTTTTATGCAACATACTGAAAGTATTTTTAAATATTGGTTCTTTTAATTTTTTTAAAAAGCAAATTCAGGAAATTAAAACCTTCACACACAACAAAATTTTTCAAAAATGCAAATACTAATTGTTAGAAAAAAAGTGTTGTATAAAGAGGACTGATGAAAAGTTATCTAAACCATGCATTAGAATTCATGTGTAATTTGATTAGCTATGGTAAAAAACAATTTTTATGCAGTAAAAACCTCATTTTGATATAGGATAATTCAAAGTACAGGTAACCCCTGTATAACACGAGAGTTATGTTCCAAAAAATTTCCATGTTATGCGAATCCGTGTTATATGAAACAAAGAACTAGTGCGAAAAGGGGGTTAGGTTCCAAAACTTAAAAAAACATGCTGTTAAATCCTTATTTAGACCGGATTAATTATTCATTTTTTTCGTAGGTAAAATACTTATTTATTATTTAAGTAAATGTTTTACCAGAGGATTCATCCTATATGGTAATCTCAGCATGAGCATCATCAACTGGTAACAGTTTCTGAATGAGTTCGTTAATAGCGGTCGCACTGCAACGGGGGTGCGCTGCTGTTTGTAGGCATTTTGAACAATGGTGAAAGAAAGATGGCGGCGCCTGCACTATCGATAGTATTGTGATGGAGAAATCTATAATTCTAAAAAGAGCTTTTAGAGGCAAAAGAAGGGTCCAAATTGTAAAATTTAACCATTAAATGGATTATTTGTTGAAAGAGCATTCAAAGTAGCCACGAAAACAATTATAATGCTTGCATGGAGTTATAAAAGAACACACCCTTTATTACATTTCATGTTGTACGAGGGTTTTATCCAATTCCCAAACCGTGTTAGAGTGAACCCGTGCTATAAAAGCACCGTGTTATATGGGGTTACCTGTATTGTTGCAAAATTTGTAGTCTAGTCCCTGACCAAGAAAATAGGATTTTGTATATTTTAATTTGGATAATTTGAAATATGTATACAATGAAATTTGAAGTCATTATCTGCTCCAGTGACCTGCAAAAATATCATTTATATTATATCCATCATATTACATGTTTACAAGGAAAGTTTCCATGCCAAAGTGACAGTTTTGTTTTTGGTTTATACATTGAATGATGTTGAACACATGTACAGAAAATCAACAGATATTATAGATTTCTCCATCACGATGCTATCGATAGTGCATGCGCCACCATCTTTCTTTCACCATTGTTCAAAATGCCTACAAACAGCAGCGCACCCCCGTTGCAGTGAAACCGCTATTTCACCCGCCGTTGAGTGAAACCGCTCATTCAAAAACTGTTACCAGTTGATGATGCTCATGCTGAGATTACCATATAGGATGAATAATCCTCTGGTAAAACATTTAATTAAGTAATAAATAAATATTTTACCTATGAAAAAAATTAATAATAAATCCGGTAAATTTAAAAGTTTATTATTATGGAAGAAATCTGTTTGGCCTTTATCTTGGACATTTTT